TTTTAGTAGGTTGCATATTTAAAAAATTTAAAAAATTTATTATAAAAATAAATAAAATAAATAAAAAATCGTGTAGCCAGCTGAAGCCATAACATTGTTGACTTAAGATGCTCAATATTTTGAACCTTGCTCATCGTTCTCAATTACAACTCGATCTTGTTGTTGTATTTTTCAATACCATGTTTATTGTTTATTCAATTACGTAATTGATAATCCTGTTTCCCCAGCCAATCTTGAGAGTCAAGGAAGCTGTTTTGTCCAGGATTTCGACTACCATGGAGCTGATATCAAGAACATAACAAACGTCGACTCTGCTGAATCATGTCTTGCTATGGTTTGTACAATCTTTAAACTTTTTTCGATTTAAATAAGTCTCAATTTTAAAAGTAAATCTGAGAAGAGTCATAAAAGCTTATACAGAAAATATCCATAATCTTCCTTCACTATTCACACTTTTTCTCAAAATTATGGTTTTAAAAACACAATCACATACTTTTAGTGCGAAAAACAAGCAGGATGTCTGTCGATGACGTACTACTACTATGGCGGCGGCTGCTGGTTGAAGAACCTCATGTACGGTCAGAACCCCGCCCCAAAAGTCGGATGTGTCAGCGCTAACCTCGTCTGTCAAGGTAGGACTAATAAATTTAATTGACACGTGACAAATATGAAAAACCGACCAATCAGCTTTGATAATTGCTGCTGACTGCTGCTAACTGCTGCTGACTGCTGCTAACTGCTGCTAACTGCTGCTGACTGCTGCGAATGGGGCGCGAGCGACAACAGCAGTTAGCAGCAGTTAGCAGCAGTTAGCAGCAGTCAGCAGCAGCAGTTAGCAGCAGTTAGCAGCAGTTAGCAGCAGTTAGCAGCAGTTAGCAGCAGTTAGAAGCAGTTAGCAGCAGTTTCTCTGCACTTTAGTGTGAGGGATTTTACTAAATCACTCGCCAGCGCGTTATCACGTGTTTTTAATGCCGTGATTTCATTGGTCACCTCTATAACGCGCATTATTTGTGACAGCACAGTTGTTTTCACACAATTTGTCCACCGCACGTGCAATAAACTCAATTTAAGTTAGCAGCAGTCAGCAGCAGTTAAGAGCAGTTGCACGCGGCGTGCGCTATTCAGGTTATTTAAATCAAAAGAATCGAGCAGCCATAACATTGTTGACTAAAGATGCTCAATATTTTGAACCTTGCTCATCGTTCTCAATTACAACTCGATCTTGTTGTTGTATTTTTCAATACCATGTTTATTCAATTACGTAATTGATAATCCTGTTTCCCCAGCCAATCTTGTGAGTCAGGAAAGCTGTTTTGTCCAGGATTTCAACTACTATGGAGCTGATATCAAGAACATAACAAACGTCGACTCTGCTGAATCCTGTCTTGCTATGGTTTGTACAAGCTTTAAACTTTTTTCGATTTAAATAAGTCTCAATTTTAAAAGTAAATCTGAGAAGAGTCATAAAAGCTTATTATATTACAAAAAAATATCCATATATACAGAAAATATCCATAATCTTCCTTCACTATTCTCACTTTTTCTCAAAATTATGGTTTTAAAAACACAATCACATACTTTTAGTGCGAAAAACAAGCAGGATGTCTGTCGATGACGTACTACTACTATGGCGGCGGCTGCTGGTTGAAGAACCTCATGTACGGTCAGAACCCCGCCCCAAAAGTCGGATGTGTCAGCGCTAACCTCGTCTGTCAAGGTAGGACTAATAAATTTAATTGACACGTGGCAAATATGAAAAACCGACCAATCAGCTTTGATAATTGCTGCTGACTGCTGCTAACTGCTGCTGACTGCTGCTAACTGCTGCTAACTGCTGCTGACTGCTGCGAATGGGGCGCGAGCGACAACAGCAGTTAGCAGCAGTTAGCAGCAGTCAGCAGCAGCAGTTAGCAGCAGTTAGCAGCAGTTAGCAGCAGTTAGCAGCTAAGATGGCAAGTACGTACGGTACGTACCTTTAAATTAGCTGTACGGTACGTACTTAATAAAGTAGGCTGAAATGTACAAATCCAGTTGATAACAATGGACAAGCGTAGATTAAGGTTGCGACCTGAGCTAGCTGAAAAGCTGATGTTCGTATACTGCAACAAAAGGATGAAGCTTTGAGTTTAACGATAATTACAAGTAGTAGTAGTGTAGTACCGGTTAATTTGTGTGTTTATTTTCGACTTCTAGTTCTATCTCAAAAATTATGATGATAATACTAATCAAAAATTGCAAGTAATTCACTGAAGTTAATTCTAAAAATTTGAAAAAAAATTGTACCTTACAGTGCCTGTACGGTACGTACCTTTAAAAGTAGCTGTACCGTACGTACTTAAAGCCCTGTACCGTACGTACTTGCCATCTAAGGTTAGCAGCAGTTAGCAGCAGTTAGAAGCAGTTAGCAGCAGTTTCTCTGCACTTTAGTGTGAGGGATTTTACTAAATCACTCGCCAGCGCGTTATCACGTGTTTTTAATGCCGTGATTTCATTGGTCACCTCTATAACGCGCATTATTTGTGACAGCACAGTTGTTTTCACACAATTTGTCCACCGCGCGTGCAATAAACTCAATTTTGTGACCAAAATGGACCATAATATGGTTTATGCAACGCATGCCCGGTAAATAGCTAATTGAATTTTAGGCACTATGGGTTGCATAAATGCACGAATTATCAATAACATGCAATAAAATTATTCCTGCAAGTTTTGATTCATTTAAAGTTTTATAGATCTTGTTGAGTTGTTGATCAAGGGTAAAATATAAGCAGTAAAACATTATCGAATTGTTTTCAGTTTTGCATTGCGAACAGATACCACAATTTCAAGTTGTTACACGGCCAAGGATAAATCTCAAAATTGTTTAGATTTGTAGCTCTGTTTATCAACGGTGAGATTTCTGATAGGGCAATTGAAATTGAGATCGATTTGCCTCTTTAAACGTGCCTCCAACTGTTAAATAGATCCCTATTCTACATTCTACCAGATTCTTATCTACCTAGATTCTACCATAGTCGATATATTATATACCAGAGCACGTCACATTGAAATGAAATGAAATGAGGTATTTATATCCCGCTCATACAGGGTGGGCCAAAAGTCAGTACCCATACGTTGGCTTTAATAGCTCCGCCGTGTTTTATATTTGAGAACTGTTGCTTTGCAGATGGCATACTGTATTTACTGGTTCGAGGATTCCGTCGTCAAAATTTTAAAATTCGAATATTTTAGACCACGCCCATTCAATATTAAAACACCTATATTGTTTTCTCTGAACATGCTGAACGCCTAATTTTTTCAGAGACGGTAGATTATCAAATGTTGCATATGATCTGAAAACATGAGGCAAAACGGATTAGAAATGACGAAGTTATCAAGCATTTTCTGTATCTTGTTAACAATATTGACTGGGTGATTATGTGACACCGTGACACGACACCTTAATTGGGCACCCTTAACAATTACCATAATGTTTAGCGGGATAGTTAACGGGGGACCTTATCACTTGATTAGGTAAACCAATCACCTGATCACACGTAATGAATAAACTCGTTATGCTTCATATCTCGGTCATCTGAGAAGCTACAGTTCTAATTCTTTCAGGACAAACGTAATTCTAATGGCCAAACAAAATTCAATAACATTTAGCTTGATCCGATTATCCAAACTATCAAATAAATGTGAAAATGAACCTCCATTTGAAAAAAATGAACGTGAATATTTTTTGAGTTGACAAATTCCTCGAACCAGTGGTGGTACTAAGTCATACCAGAAAGAAGTATTTAAATTGGGCACTCGGTGACTGCGCTATAAAGGCCAACGTATGGGTACTGACTTTTGGCCCACCCTGTATGATTAACCAACAACACAAGGAAAAGGTTAACCATGTCAGAGCGGCTGACTGTGAGTAATGTGAGCAAATGTGTAAAATGAACAAAAGTATAACTCAAAAAGGCTTAAGACAAAATTAAAACATCTTTTATTGTAAACACCACACTAAACTAAAAAGAAGCAGAAACCATACAATACGTGTAGGTATTATAAATGATAATACAGTGACATGATCAACAAAAAAGAGAGACAGATCCTAGAAAGGTAGAGATCAAGACATAAAATGGAGTGCAGTAAAAAATAAAAGCCAATGTGTCTTGCAAAGTGAAGACAAATGGGAAGAAAAAACATCAAAACTGATTATATAAATGGTTCTTTAACATTCGCTTGAAGCAGTTGGTATCAGTAATACATCTCAACATCATTGGAAGAGAGTTCCATTTCAATAATTTTACATTATGTTATTATATCAGCTACTTATGTTTAAAGCATTAAAACACTTTTATGACGGTGCTGTTAGAATAAAAGAATATTTACGCTATAAAACAGTTAACATCAAAAATAAAACAGTTGACATCAAAAATATTATAACATTACCAAACTAAGTAAAAATAACAACTGTCCAATGTCCTAACCATGAACCTGACCAAAAATGTCAGTAAATATCAGTTTATTCGAAATCACAGTCATATTACTATGAAGACCCGTGTATTAGCCCGGTAGGTGAGGTATGATAGAGCCGGCCAGCCCGGTTATAGGTGAGGTCCAGTAGTTGCCCGGAGGCGGTGTAGATTTGGGTGATGAGGTCTCCTCCTGACACGTTGTACATTCCTTTGTGTCCAATGCGAAATACAAAATAGCGCGCTTTTCCTATTATCCATGGCGAGTGAATTAGTGAAACCACCCTGTGAGGGGACGTGACGATTTTAACAGGTCCAAAGTAGAAATGGAATTTATTTCTTTGGCGGGAAGAAGATTCCACAGCTGTGCCGCTTTCACTCCAAATGAGTTTTCATAGTGTGTTGCCACAGAGTGCTATGATTTGTTGTTCAGTGCCGGTACAGTAGCTTTTATTCCATGTCGGGGGTTGTTTTTGAATAGCATGCCAATATCATTTGGGCCAGGCCATTGAGAATTATCCATGTGTGGATCAAGATGTACCTTTCTTGATATCTCTGCAAAGATATTCAACAGCCTCTATGTCCATGGTCTTGGAAATGATTTCAAATATATCATAATGAAGCCTGATACTACTTTAAGACTATAGACAGTTTATGTATGGCTTAAACTTTTGAGATTTAATGGCGTTTTAATGGCCTATTATATAACCTTACCGTTCTCCTGTTAATCCTATATCCAATTTAGACTCCTCAATGAAACAATGAAACAAGAAATTTAATTTTAGCACATTTTACAGAATAAAAAGATGCAAAACAATTCATAAAATATAATGCCCATTTGGTGTATGATTTTTTGTCCTTGACTGCTAGTTTGGTTTTGGAAGGACAGGTAACTAACGGGGCAAGGAATGCGCGTGCCTGAAAGCTTTTGCACACACCGAAACGCTAGTTCAGTTAGGTTTTTAGAGACAATGCTCATATTAGGACTAGAAGAAATTTGTTAGTAGACATTAGGGGTTCTGTTTATAGTTGTTACTATAGGTTGCAGTCTTGTTGTGACAAAAAGTCTACACTAAAACATGCTTTAGCTTATATTGTGTAGTTCAAGGATATAAAATGTAGCTTCAAGGTGGATATTAAAGAGCTGGCGAAAGATTATGGCCTTTGTATCAATGGTTATAATAAGCTATAAATATCTTAAACTATACAGTGCTAATTAAAAATTTCTTTATACTTCATTCTCAGATTAGATTTAGAAAATTCAAAAAATATACATTGATTTTATTAATACTTTCTCACACATTCTTTACTCACAGGACAAGACTTGGAAAACAGTAGCCTAGGGGAATTTAATTGAGATGTGTGTGACCAGCCATTTATAATGTTTGGAAAATAATATTTGTGCAGTCAAAATCTTTTACGGTCCAATCAAGCAGGGCGTGGTTATGCTGATTGGCTAACAGCGCACGACTCCTGCCCAGCTGGCACCTACACAGACAGTTATGTGAATATGAGAGAATGTCAACAGTGTCCTACAAACACATACAGTGAAGAGGATTCGCGATTCTGTAGAACATGTCCTCAAGGATCTCATGCCAATGAAGCCAATACTCAATGTGGTAAACGTTTACTCTCATTCGATTCTTGTCAAGATATTTATGATTTATATACAGGGTGGGCCAAAAGTCAGTACCCATACGTTGGGTCTTATACCTCCGCCGTGTTTTATATTTGAGAGTTGTTGCTTTGCGGATGGCATACTGTACCTACTTGTTCGAGGATTCCGTCACCAAAATTTGAAAATTCGATTTTTGGGGGCTACACCCAATAAACATTGAATTGCTTACACTGGTGTTTGTGAACATGTTAGAGACTATGTTGTAACATATTGCAATAGGTCATTTAATCCGGAATATGATCTGAAAAGATGGTGCGAAACAGATTTAAAATGACGAAGTTATCAAGCAATTTGTTTATATCGTTAGCAAAATTGATTGGGTAATCAATGATTACCCAATTACGGCACCGTAATTGGGCTCTCTACACGATTCCCATAATGCAGATCTAGCCTCAACCCTATTACCTGATCACACGTAATGAACAATTTCCTTATGCCTCATATCTCGGTCATCTGAGAGGCTAGAACTCTAATTTTTTCAGGACAAACGTAATTTAAATGGCCAAACACTATTCAATAAAATGTGGCTTGATCCGACTATCCAAACTATCAAATAAATGCAAAAATGAACCTTTATTTGAAAAAAAATGAACGCGAATATTTTTCGATTTGACAAATTCCTCGAACCAGTGGTGGTAGTGAGTCATACCAGGAAGAATTATTTCAATTGGGCACTCAGTGATTGAGCTATTAAAGTATTAAGGCCAACATATGGGTACTGAGTTTTTGCCCACCCTGTATATTTATAATTGTATGGAAACAATCGGAACATTCCAGAAAATTTCGAAATCGTTGAAATAACCTCCTTATTATTTACAACTGTAATAGATTAAGAAGAACTACCCAAAGGCAGCTGTACTCGGCAATAAAGATTCAATAATTAACATCAGCTAATTAGGCACTCTACCACCCTTATCCCGAAAGCGAAATACTATAAGTATCGATCCGAAATCAACCCAAAAAGATTTTTACAGCATGTGATTGATGCAATTAATCGAAACTTATTTAAATTCGTAAGCGGTGAATGAATGGGAAAAGCGAACGACCGATTTCATTCTCGGTATCATTTTGCATTTGCGGACGGTTATTCAAATTAATATCATTATCATTCCCTTTTGTTTGGGAAAGAGAGACACTGGCAGCAGTCCACTCTATTTTTTTTGTCAAATATGTAATATATCATATTTTGATTTTTATAAGATTAACGATCCGACATTTGTGCATCTTTTTGAGTTTTTGGGCATTTTTTTTCAATTTCAGTAATTAAATTTTCATTCGTTTTTAATACAGTGAGCAAGAAAAGCATTCGTTAAGCAGTAAAAATATTTATATAATCAAGTCCGATTTTAGAAATTGAAATTGGACATTCAAAATACTAATAATCCTAGAAATCGGTGTGCCAGGTAATGGAAATATTTACTTCCAGGAATTTGGAGCAAGAACGCTGGTAAATATTTGAGCGGCTACAGCGCAGGAACCGCCAAATACGACAGTCTTCTGACGGCTCAGAGCGAATGTCTCAAACGATCCGGTCAGTTCAAACTTGCAGTTAATTTGATGATAAATTAGAAAATTAATTGGTTATCTTGCGAAATTTAATACACAAAAGATATACAGAGTCGCAGTCTCTGGTAAAATATATCAATTCATCCTAAATACCACTTTCTTCCACTAGACTGTGGAGGTATCACATACGAGACCATATCCGAAATGTTCACTCTGCGAAGAGGAGTCAACCTCAGGAACAGTCCCTCCAGTGAAATCTCCTGGAAGTGGATGGCTATCTCAAGCGATGATGAAGGTAACAACATATTTTTGGCGCTAGATAGCGCTACCATCACGTTTAGACTATATGAAGTGTATAATTTGGTTTACTTTCTTACCATCGTTTGCGTTCTGAGCATATGAGTCTGAATCATACAAAATATGTTGCTTTTCATTGATAGAGCTGACCATACTGTTGTTTTCTTGTTCTGTAATTAGTGGCTTCTCGTAAGTGAATTTGAAGTTGTCAATATCCTCTTTACGTTTCAAATTGTTTGGTGGATGGCTTGCGAGACCACGCGGATGAAGTTTGTCATCGTACTGAACATTGACGGGCACGTGTGAATTTAAAATATCTTTGGTAATTTTATTTATCATTGAATCAAGAGTCGCCTTATCAATTTCTTCAAATCTTCTCATGTTCAATTTTATAACGTCATTTTTTGCAACAAACGACTCCTCAAGTGTAGTGTAATTCCCAAATATTTGTGCCTCATCACTTCAACTGTATAATTCGATCAACATTTGAACATTAGATTTTGTAATATTATAGAACATTTTTCATAATTTACAGCGAATTCTTTGTAGCACATGTCCTTCAAAAAATCAGGCCTTTGTATACGATCAATGTCTCCCCGACATCAACACCACCATCAGAGTATCACGAGACTTCTGACCCCACCCCGGAGAGGGATCACCTCAGTGGGGTCAGAAGAAAAAAAAGTGAAGGGTCGGAGAGGGCCTCTCCGACCCTTCACTTTTTTATTTATTATATAAGTGAGTATTTGACCAAAACCCATAATCATGGGTAGAGTGGACCGCTGTCAGTACTTCTGACTATGAAATGATATCAATTTGAATAAGTTCACAAATGCAAAATGATACCGAGAATGATACCGAGAATGAAATCCTAGCGTGCTAAATCACTCTACAGTCGAATTTTGAGATTGTTCTAAAAGGGCCCCGACAGTTGAAACCAACTTCAATAAATGTATTTTTGGACGCTGATTCCGAATCACCCCACCTCCATGACATAGGGTAAAGGGTTAAAATGCTCCCCTGACGAGATATTGGCGAAAAATGTCTCGATCACGTGATATGACCGTAAGGAAGTTAGTCTAATTTCTCGTTAGGGTTAGGGTTTCAACTTTCAGCATATGCTTTTGTTAAGGATTGGGTTAGGGTTAGGGTTGGGATCAGATTAGAGGGTTAGTGGTTAGGGTTTCGAAAAATCGTTCAGGACCAGCTAGAAAACGGGTTGAAAAAGTCACGTGACAGTTGAGTGTAGAGTGATTAATCATCATCCAATGAAATCGGTCGCTCGCTTTTCCCATTCATTCATGGAGACATGACGATAACCTGCGTGCAAGACGCTCACTATACCTTCACAGACTTACAGATTTGTATTATATATAATTTTACTGAAAAATTAAAATTTTATTAATTATTGATAGCTCAACGTGTTCACTTTCGATTTTACGCAAAAAAAGCGAAGAAAAGACCAAAACGCAAAAGTCCCAAATCCCAATATCTCGAAATGGCAAATATGGACTTTATATTTCCTTATTTCTGAGAAAACGGCAGTATTGCACATGCAATTAGGTATATCATATATGTCAGTAATCGTTGTAATAAATATAATTATGATAACTATTGCATAATTATCATTATTTTAACAAATCACACTGTATGTTATTATACTTATTATAGAGGCAAGCAAATTTCCCACTTTTATATTAGTCATTTCACTCAAAAATACTTATCTCGAAAACACTGTACATGACATGCGTAAAATAAAAACCGTGCGTCCTTCACAAAACTTTTGATACATCGCAATTGTGTAATAAGCTTGATCTTACTGCTCAAAACTAAACAATTGAGGCATACTGCTTATTTTTGATAAATTTGTGTGTTGTGGTTGTTCATATAAAAATTATAATAGCCCGACAAAAATAAATCAACTGGATTTAGATAAGAAGTTACTTAATTTTGTTTCTTTGAGGTGAAAAATTTTCGTGATATTATTATTAAGGTCCACGCCAAGACCTTAGTACCTTTGGAGCAGATTTACTGTTCTTTGTTTGATATTATATAGGTGTTATTATATAGGTGTTATGGCCGACCAAAACGGTTTTTTTCCCATAACTCTCCGTGGAAGCATTTTTACCTTACGTCATGTCGATTGTCGGGTGATTCGGAATCAGCGTCCAAAAATACACCGATTTAGATCAATTTCACACCCAAAGGGCCTTTCCACAAGAATTTTCGTAAAATTTTTGTGAGTGCGCGATTTAGTAGGAGCGGATAAAATGGGTTAACTCGAACGGCCTAGCTCTTAATCTGAAGAAGACTTGCTATATGGTATTTTCAAAAAGACAAATAGATCTATCGTCTCTACACTCTACAGGTAAGAATCAACAACTCTCCTATTGAACGCAAAACATAGTCCAGGTTTTCCGTTTTTAGGAGTTATCGTCGACGACAAACAAAAATGGGCCAGCCACATCCGAGCCGTCAAAACAAAAATGTCACGGTTTATAGGTGTTATGTTCAAAAATCTAAAAATCTAGATAGTTTTATTAAGTTTTGATCAGCCTTGTATCTTTGAAGTAAGCAAAATCGCACATTAAAGCAATATCAAACAAACAACTTTGGTTCCCTAGTAAAATTCTAAAGAACTTACTGTCTAAAACATTTGCCTTTACAATTTAAACGCGACCTTTACGTGGAATTGCCCAACACTAGCATTAAACATTTCAGTGTGTCAATCACTTCCAAATTCCAACGAAGACGACTCTTGGCAGATAACCGAAATGGACGGGTTTCTAAGAAACGTGAAATGTGTAAATCTAAAACTTGTCTACAAATGCACGCATTCTGACGATGTTTATGATTTGGCTTCATACACGATAAACGAACTCTTTTCTGTCACTGAGTACAACGGCACATGCTCAAACGACCCATACTTTTACCAAGCCTGCAAATTGGATGCAATCGCTGGGGTTATAAAGGGAGACGGGAAGACGGTTTGCGGGGTCTTTATTTGCTCTAAGATTGTACCCTCAGGTCACAAGGAGACTCACAAGGAAACTCACACAGACCACATATATCAATCTGGGTACGTTTGTGAGGACATCCAGGACTGTTTCAACACTAACATTGCTGAAGAAATTGGGTGTGAAAAAGAAGGGAGTGAAAAGGTGTACCTCCCAAGCGGGAAACAGATCGTTGCGTTTGACTTGTGCAATGATAGATGTGACTTGCAAAGCTGTGAGGATGAGGCTAAGTGTAACGGATATCAATACGGAACCTACTGTCCTGAAGTACAGACGAATAAGAGGAGTGTTATATACTTAAGACCAATAGATACCTGCAACTCCAACAGGAATTGTCCAAGTAAGTATGATAGCAACTGTGTAGTCTCGAATGATACGCAATCTTCTTGCATAGCGTCTTCAGCACTTGGCAATAACCTCCACAAGGTCCTACTTCCAGATCACTTCAGATGTGCAACTATGAGAAATTTTGACTCTTACTGTTACAACTTCTTAGACCAGACAAACTGCTCAGATCCTTTAAAAGTCGGACTTTTCTGTGAGATCGAAGGGCATAATTCGAGCATATCAACACAGAAAATATGCATAGGGGACCCTTTGTGCGATGACCATATTGATACGCATTGCGTCCAAACCTCTTCAGCGTGTTTCGTGCATAAACACAGCCTGTGTGACTTTAAGGAAGATTGCACAGACAAAAGCGATGAAACGACCTTTCGTTGCAACAATTCTAGTCTCACTGTGGAAACGTGCACACGTAGACTTCTAAAAACAGCGAGAAATCTTCCGATCCGGTTAGCTTGGTTAAAAGACGGTGAAATAGATTGCACAGATGGAAAGGATGAAAAAAAAGATTGGCCAAGTTGTGGACAAGGACAAACATTTCGATATGTTAGAGACACTACATCCTGTGGAAATGTATACCTCTGTTCATCCGGACATGCGGACTTCATCGAATTCGCACAGCTGTGTGATGGTATAGAGACATGTGGCAATGAACTACAAGTCTGCAAACTTGCTCGTTTGTCAATTGAAATACCCTCTTTAATTTCACTGACCTCTCCAGACGGACTGAATAGACATCTTTCATACTGTGTTCGAGGACTTAGCAACATGGAATACCTCAAAGACAAATGTGTAAGCGATTATTTTCATGCTAATAAAACTCTTGACGTCTTTGGCCAGACTGCCATTCATATCCACATTCCATCAAAAGCCCGAGAGTGTGACAGCCTATTTGGGGAGAATTACGTTCTGACAAGTTGTAGTAAAAAATGTATTAACTCTTCATGTCCCATACAGAGCTTCGGGAGTCCGGAACAGTGTTCCGAACAATTAAATTCCAAGGTTTTTACCACCGCAAACAACAAAAACTTAACGTTCCTAAGGAAACGTCGAGCTGCTTATATAATGGATTACTTTGCTTGTAAGAACAATTACAAATGTTTGGAATTTAAACAAGTGTGCGACCTAGTGGACGACTGTGGTGACGATTCTGACGAAATCATGTGCAAAAACCATTTCCAGTGCACCGACACAGGCTTCTACGTTCCAATGACAAGCAAATGCGATGGCACTATCAACTGTTCTAATCTATCAGATGAGTGTAATGAAGATTGCTCAGTTAAAATCCTTAAGAACTGGATGCTGGCTGTGCTGTCGTGGACTATGGGGGTGATAGCCGTTTCTGCAAATTTTTGGGTCATCGTAAAGAGCATTGTATTTTTCAAAACTTGTAACAAATCAATG